GGTTCATTTGACCCCAGTGCTCTTCCTGCCATGGCAGGGGGTCGGACTAGATGATCTGCTCAGGTCCCTTCCGACCCTAGAAACTATGAAACTATAATTGCCTCTTCATTTTGTATGTACATTCATGGTTCTAACATGCATGACAATCAGGCTTATGGAGCCACTTTCCTCCAAAAATACCCCTTTTTGCAGCCTTTGCCCTGCAGCTCACCATCAGTCACACCCCACCCAATCCTTCTAACAGGTGCACACACACTCGCATAGACTCTTGTCATGCCTTCAGATAGAAGCCATTTGGCACATGCCCTCGGTGCCCAGCTACAAGGCAAGCTGGGCTGGGAAGGTCCAGGTTGCTGTTTCAAGTCCCTAATCATTCTGACTCGGCAGAATTCAGAAAAACTAAAGAACCATGCAAGTGCCAGACAGCCCATAGCTTGCTTGTGCTCTGAAGTTAACATAGTGTCAACCAGTTGGCTAAAGGACTGAAACCAGGAATTGAAAGAAATGGAAGAAATAGTTATAGCTCCAAAGTAGGAAAGAATTCAGTCTTCGGAATCTAGTCTATGGAAAGAGATCAAACCTGCTAATGGTGATACTGCCTGACATGCATGAATAGGCAGGGAAACTGTGGCAAACTTTAGAAGGGACCAAATCCTGAAACTGTTATCCTGATCCTGGCTTATTCCTGACCCCAGGACCCTAAACCTGGCTACTTTGCCTTGGCTTATTTCCGATCACCATTCTGGTTCTTTGACTCCAGTCATGACTTTGGTATCTGGACTCTGGTGTGACTGCCATCTCCAAACCCTGGCCATGACCTTATTCTGAATTTTTGCTCTGGACTCAGGTCCTTGACCCTGAGTCTGACTGCCCACAGCCACAACTAGGCCTGCCCATCTCAACTTCATTCAGCCTGCTCCAGTAGAAGCCACCATGGTAGTCTGGTGTGTGGCACTCAGCTGATTGTTGCCCCCAGTGGGGTTTCTTCTGCTGTTCAGTCCCATGGCTCTCTTGACCCCCAGATTCACACTGCATTTTGGGTCCTGCACCACAACCCATGGATTAGGATGGGTTGACACTGAGCCCTAAATGAAGAGCTATTTTTACTAAGCCACTACTACAATTATATAAGTATAGCAAACAGTAAAACCTTGAGCTAGATCTGGGCGCGCGCACACCCCCCCCCCCCTTCTCATGAAGCATATTTCCTCAGGAAAACATAATGTAGATGTTGATCTGTCTTTACTGGGATTTCTCACAATATTGACAGTACATATGCCTCTTATAATGCAGACAAAGGGGGTCAATATTTCAGCTGGAAATCCCCTGACTTGTATTAGGAGAAACTTTAGTTATTGAATTTTTTGTCCAGTCTGCCAGCCATAAAGCACATCATCATCTGCTGTATTTTGTCCTCTGTAGATGTTGTGCCTCAGAATTAAACAAAACTGCCTTAAATTAAAGATCATAGCATGGAGGAAAAGAGAAATGGGTAAAGTTGGGAAACACCTTATATAAAGGGTCAGCTGAGACGGAACAGAATATAGAGGCCAGGACGTACAGAGAAGATGCAACAGAAGCCACAGAAAGGAAGGCTCTTTCACCAGTAATGGTATGAGAGCGAAAGGATGGCTGTTTCCTTAGGGGAGGGGAATAGAGGACAATGAGGACTGTGCCATGGGTAGGAGGGCAATTTTTAAATGCATGGGAAACCAGTAGACTTGCTGGGAGCAATAACTCTCTATTTCAGGATGATGTGCTGCTGTATCAATTATGCATGCATCTTGCCTACGCTGGAATCTGAGAAGATGGGATTCAAGGAGGACAGGTTTTCCTCATACAAGAAGGGGAGTTCCTTTGATTTAATGGCAACAAAAAGGTGCCTTTCCCTCCTGCACAGCACTCTGCTGGCATCAAACCCTGCGACTGGCATTCCCATGCCCCTGGGTGGTGGGTGTAGGTGAACTTTGCCACTAGTACTGGGAGATGAGGGCCCTCCATTTCTTTCCAAGGCAAGATAGTGCAAATCCCCCTGTCCTGCTGCTCCCTTGCTGACTCCCACCCCAGTAGGGCAGAGGTGACAGCAGTCTCTCTGCTGAGCCAGTATCCCCCTTAGCCAGATTAAGCTGTTTTTATTACATTTCAATTCCCTACTGCAATCCTTACTGCTTCCTAGAGAGATGTGGGGAGGGGGAAAAACTCCTTTGCTGCCATGTTTTTAATTTGGGAGGATGAAAAGCATAAAATTGATTTTCCCAAATCCGTGACCCCTGCAGCTTGCAAATTTATCAAGGGTTGTGAGCTGCGGCAGCTGGAGCTGGACTATTTCTGCCCTGCACGGCCTGAGTTGCCCCAAGCTGCCCTGCCAGGATGCTTAGTTATGCCTTCTCTGATGGAGCATCAGGGAGTCACTGACAACTCCCCAGGGCAGCCTTCAGCCACGTGCTGGGCACACCACCGGCCCAGTCTCTGGGAAAAGCTCATGATTCCAGTGCTCCAAGGAGAAGCTACTCAGTTATCACAAACCATGAGGTCCCATGGGGAAAGGGCAAGGAGGGTGGTAACCAAGAGAGAGGAGGGGATTTCAATCAAAGGCAGACAAGCTTTAGTGTGTTGAAGAAGTCAGAGGTTTCTGACAGGTAGCTGGAGGCAAAGGCACATTTCTGCTCACCAAAGAAGGAGCCAAGGTTCCAGGGGAAAGAGCTGCTGTGCCCCTCCTCCCCCAGCTTATTGTAATAGGGTCTGTCTTCACTTACTCAGCCCTGGCCCTGCTTTCTGATGGCCGGGGAAGATGGCAGGCAATGCCACATGACATCCCACAGGTCTTTGTTCCTTGGGTTTTCTGCATCCCAAGAAGCAGCTGTGTGTGAAACAAGCCTGAGCTTCATAGATCTCACATGTTCCAACAAGTGTGTGAACCTAACTCAGGGGCACGCAATTATTTTGGACAAAGGGCTGCTTACTGAATTTTGGCAAGCCATCAAGGGCCATATGACAGGCAGCCCAGGGCAGATAAATATTAATTTTCTAACTTTTTTAGGGGCCATGTGGGCCAGATAGAATGGCCTGGTGGGCTGCATCCGGCCCCTGGGCAGGATTTTGCCTGCCCCTGACCTAACTTGATAGCGCTGGGGTTAGTTTTTCCCCTGCTGAAGACTGGGAAAGCTCTGAGTGACAGCTAAGGCACAGGAGATGTCTGCCTGCAGATTCAGGTTGGCATCACTGGGCTCATGATCAGCAGGTTCACTTTGAAACCACAAGGTTTAGAAAAATAAATGCAAGCTCCAATCCTGTGGGAGTTGATGGCTCTTACCCTGGATGGCTTCTAGCTTGGCCTGAGCAAAATCATCATGCCCTGCTGAGATCTCCCTCCAATGGGATCTACTATTGCTATTTTTCTTCTTTCTTCCAGTGATGTCTCGGGGGGATTACAGGTCTGAGGGCATGATCCATGTCCTGCTGGAGATGATGGGAGACATTACGCTGGGCTTCAGTGAGCATTGAATAGAGCCTTCCTTCTGACATGAGAAGCTTCCATTGTGAGGGAGGCTTCACTGCATATGATATTTGCCCTCCTAAGGTAACTGATGCCTTATGGTTGCCTCCTAATGTAACTGAAAGAATTAGGTCTCTCTCATTTTGGTTCAGTGCATTTGACAAAAGGAAGACAACAGGTGGAGAAGAGAGTCCTGGAATACAATGATGATAATGGTTAAAGATGTATGGACGATCCTATACATCCATCATATGACCATACTGTCTTGGTAGAGTGGCACAGCCAGGTTGAATCTCTGGAATCATGATGCAGGCATGAGCTCAGAAAGCAGCAGCCTCATATCTATTCATCACTGGCTGAAAGTACAAAGCCAGCTGCTCTTGCTCTGTTGCTGCTGCTGCTGCTGTACAATATAGGTTTGGAAAGATCCATCACCCTACTCTGAGTCAGCTCACAAGGTTCCTTCCTGGGACCAGGGTCCTTCTCATCTGGGAGAAGCCATCTGTGGAAGCTTCAAGACACATTCCCCATAGCCATAAGTCTCTCTCCATGTTTATGGTCCTTTCACCCTTACAGGGCATGACTCTTATCTGGGTTTTAGGCTGAGAGGCTATTTGAGGGTGACCCAGGCAGCACCATGCACTATCACAGCTTGCATGGAATTCGTTCTCATGCCTTGTTTATTGCTCTTGGTCTATATTTTTGGATTTGGTGTGTAAGGCAGATTAGGCAAAGCAAGGCTGAGCACTGAGGATGCCTATACATGTGCAGAGAGGCTGCTCTGACATGTAATTACAGCGCATCAGAGCTGCATCAATTAATCAAGTCTGCTGGAGCATGGTAATTACCATGCTCCAGCAGACTCTAGCATCACATGTATCAGTGTCCCCTTCCTGAAAAATGGCAGTGGGGGTGATTTAACTAAAGCTGTTCAAGTGAGCATTAGTTAAAGTGCCCCTGCCGCTATTTTTCAGCATGGGGACATTGATACACACGATGCTCCAGGTGCTTTAATTAGAGCAGCTCTTGAATTTAAGGAGGCCACCCTTCCAGGAGCTGCTCTAATTAAAGCACCCCTTTCCCCACCACTCCCAGAGCATGCACACAAATGCCCTGCAGACTCAAACAGGCTCTCGGAAGACCTCAAGAACAACTAAGGAAGAGAACGGCACTGAGAAGGGAGAGTGCCAGGCAGGGCTGGGAAAGTCATAGAGAACCTTTTATTCTTGTAAGCAGTGCTCAGCAGTCCCTCATACACAACACTTACTGATGACTAACTGCTGACTAAAGGGCTGTTTCTTCAGTCACTGAGGCATCCATCTGTCCCTCCCAGGAGCTCACAGGAGGAGACTGTGCATTCACAGTTGGAATGAAACTCTGGGCTTGGAGTTTGCTTGGTTCTGGAGCCAGATAAATTCCTGCAGATATCTGCCCATTCCCAAAGTCACGAGAGGTTTGCAGAAGCTTCAGAACAATCTCTGACCACCCAGGGGGCAACAGCATTGCTGCAGGCCACAAAAATAGGTATTTGTGTATCCACACTCCTCCCCCTACACAAGGGGGCAGTTGGAACGGGGTTGGTGACACCTAGGTTTTACCCACAGTCACAGGATAACTGCACGCTTTTGTCAATATAAGCAAATATACAATAGTTAACAATGTAAAAACTGAAGCTTGCACCGTTAGGGTCCGGAGTGAACAAGGGTTGCAATGACTGGAGAAAATCAGGCTTTTTTGGAGTAACAGTTAGGAAGTTCAGGCATAATTATTAGTTAGAGGCTTGGGACATAATCCTGTATCATAAAGTAACTTCAGTGGGAGTTAAGCCACACCACACCTTGTGGGTCAAGGCCCCAGAGGATGCGTGAACAATGTTAATTCTGCAGAATGCTGGTGTGCCCAACCATGTGTCTCTGGAACCTGTCACTGAGCACCAGTGTGTTTGGACACCTGACATCCCCTCTGGGGTTGGACAGGCTGGTGAAAGGAGCAGCAATGAGAGAGCCCAGAGCCAGGAAGGACAACATGGGATCTGTAAGCAAAATCTAGATGCAACAGACAAACCAGGAATTACCAGCAGCAGCACTAAGAATGCAGCGGGGTTTATTTCTGCAGTAGCCCTCTCCAACTCAACCTTCTGCCATGTGGGGAGGAGAATCTGCAGCTAGAACCATCTGGTCTCTGCTGGGTCTTCTGGCGGCAAAGATTTGGCAGTGGCTTCCTCCTCCATATCTCCCTTCCCCCACCCCCAGCTGCCTCTGTGGCTGCAGTGCAATTCCTTCCTGGTCTGGCTCTCACTGTTTAGGACAGAAAATGGAACGTGATACTGAACAAAGAGCCACTGAATTGTAGCCTCTGTGATGGCCCCTGGGCCTCTCACAGCCACCTCTATTCCTACTGGAGAAGCACAGGTCATGTGGCACAGAGATGTCCTTATTTACTGGCATCCCATGTGCCCACCTCTACTGCCTGGATGTTGTAATTCATGTTTATGAAGCAGAGAGCAGAGGTCCCAGAGATGCAGAGACTTAGCCACCATGTAATCACTGCGGAAGCCAGCATGTGCCTCAGTGGCAGCTCTCTAACTTCCCTGCTGTGTCACACATTGGCTAATTAAACAGACATCTGCAAGCAAGCACAAGCTCTTTCAGCGTAGCCATTTCTACCATTCGGGGGCTCTTCCAGCCAACAAGAAGGCAGAGCACTGTGATTTTTCTTATGTGCCTAAATGCTAAAATAATAAACTCCCATGCTGCTGGATTGAGCCAGCAAAAGACGCGTAGAAACCATTTCAAATCTATTTGAGCAGAAGGCAAATCCTAAGCCCTGGACTTAGTACGAAGTGAAGAAAGATGAATAAGGAGCATGGCTACATTCCCCTTTCCCTGCTACCCCAGACTCCTGGAATTGCCTGCTTACCTCTGTCCAATGGCACAGGCTTTCCACCACTTCAGAATCAAGTGGTGCTCATTTTTTTAAATGTCCTGCAATGTAATCAGTCCCACAGAGCAGAGAAGCAGTTGGATTTGCTTGTAATCAGGTTTGCTAGAGGGGGTAGCTTCCTATCTGACCACTGCTGCTTTCAGATGTGTGGAAGTATTAGTGCGTAGAGGCATGTATGTCTGTATGCACATGGGCCTGGATAAGAGATGCACATGCATCCATGCATGTTTGGGGAAGTATATATTATTTTGTTTGTGAAGGTTATACATGTGTCTTTGGCCGAGAGAGAGAGAGAGAGAGAGAGAGAGAGAGAGAGAGAGAGAGAGAGAGAGGGGGAGTGTGAAGGTGTGTGGCTTACTGTATGTGTGAATGGTTGTATATCTATTGGGTCAGATATAGATATACATATGTGTGTGGGAGTTACAGATGTCTACAGTATGTGTGCAGGTATGTGCATGTATAGGGAAGAGATATGGATGTGCATGAGAGCGAGAGTGGCAGCAGAAGTATACCATGATTCTTCTAGCTGGGTGATAGATATTTCTCTGGGTGCTCTGCAGGCTGGGAATTGGATTTACAGGGTGCCGGCAACTAGTTTGCATAGGATTCTACTGGAATAAATATTTAACAGGACTTTATATTTCAGCCTTTGCTTTTCACCTTCATTGTTTCCTTGGAGTTAATGCCAGTACAGGCCTTCATAATGGCTGAACCATCACAAACAGAGGAGTCAGCCAAGCCCAAGACAATCATATACCACATGCAAACATTTACCACAAGTCGCCAGTCCAAGATGCCCTTGTCTGCTCTCTCTCCAGTCCATGTCCTACACTGTGGACACAGTGGCTCCACTGTAACTGAGTGCTGAATGAGCCTTGATTCCTGAAAAATCGGGACTTTATAAAGAGCTCTGTTTCCTTTCCAGCCTGCCTGCCTGAATCACAGCATGAATAACTGTTTTCCCATTTCTGTCCGTCTGTTGTCCCCCCCCATTCCATTCCCCACCACCACCCGCTTTCCCTTCTCTGCCTTCCCACCCCTAGCCAATCAGTGCATTTCTTTCTTTGCACCTGTCACTCTTTTTGTCTAGCTTTATTATGCTCCTGGTGGCTCCTGATGGCAGACCTTTCTTGGCAGCCTCTGATTTCACTCTGCAGAAATACCAGTAAGCATGAACTGGTGTAAGAACTGCTGTGAAGCGCTACTATTGCTGGGCATTCCCAATGGATTAAATCTTGGTATAATGGAGAGGCAATGTGAGGAACCTGACAACAGGTCTCTCATGAAGGCCTTGAATTTTTCACCTCAAGTCTTGATCAGTGCCAACTAAATTACATAACACACAAAGAGAGCTCTGAATTCCCATGTAGCCCATCCAGAGACCTTTTAATCACCATGTACAACCAGGGAAAAGCAACCTAATCTAAATCTACAATCTTATCTTTTTATCTGAAACTTGTGCTTATTCCCTCTAGCCCATGCCCTTACCCCTTTGGCCTCAGCATGCCCTTAATCTCTGAAGTAGCTGTACCTCCTCCATCCAATCTGACTGCTAACACATGGGTGCTTTTATATATAGAAACCAAACAACATGGTATTTAATGGCTGGATGTGGAACAAGTGACTTTTCAATTGGCAAAAGAAAAAGTCCCCTACCTTCCCCTCCCCACCAAAGAAATGAAAAAACTTGTACACCACGGCATACATGACGCAGGTCTGCCTACACGCATGATTTCAAACATTCCCCGAATTAGCAGGGAACACTTTATGCAGCATTCAGCTGAGGCTGCAGGCTGCTTCCAGGGCGTTACATTAATGATGATTCAAAGAGTTCAGAATCTAATCACGGGGATAAAAATAGAAAACTTCTACTTATAACAATTCATTATACAACAGGTCTTCCTCCAGCCTCATCCTGCTGCTCCTCATCTTGCTGTGCAGTTCTCTGCAGTATCTGGGGTACATTCTCTTGATTGCAAAATATATATAGATAATATAAAGGAGCTTGAAGCATCAG